ATTTCTTATTTACAATCTACAAATTGACGCTATTTTAATAAGGAAGTAAGTTTTATGCAAAGGAATTCATTGAATGTGTCAATTAATCTTTTCAAAATACATTCGTTTTTGCAAAAACAAGAAAATACAAATTCATGTAATTAAAACTATTGTTGATTAATTAATTAACTAATTTCAGCTGTCATTGATCAGTATCTTAATAATTTTATTAACATCTAAAAGATAATTAACTTAGAATAACTATAACAGATATTAAAAAAACTATATTCAGCAGAATTACTTTTTAAAAGGTCAAAAATAGCAAAAGATTACTTCAAGTAAAATTGTCCGAAGTTCATTATTGTTGCATTCTGAATCATTGGTGATAACGAGAGATGAGATGGGCACTGGCTGTGTTGGTTCATGCGTTTCTAATGTTTGGTTTGATAGCTCATCGATGGAATTTAGCATTTCTAGCACATTTCTGTTGTGAATTTCATTTTTATTCTAAAATTTCTCTAAAATATTTTTTTTGGTTTTATACATTTAAAAAAAGATTTAAACAGTATCTTAACTTATATTTGCAGATTAAAGTAATGTATTAAATCGAAAATTACATTCTTAATCATTTATAGATATGTAGTATAGAATTTATTATTAATAAAATATTAACATTTCATTAAATAGCGTTAATATTCACTATTTATTGTTATTCGTTAATAATATTTATTAATATTGATGATAGTTATAAATGGCCTTCATTATTTATTTTTTAGTAATAATATTTATTGTTATTATTGTTTATTAATATTTATTGTCATTAATATTTATTAAGATTTATTGTTATTAGTATTTATTAATATTGATGATAGTTATAAATGGCCTTTATTATTTATTATGGTTTATTAACAAGCAGTAATTATTATTTTCTGTTAATGAAGTATTATCCGTGGTAACATTTCTTAATATTTAAAAATGCGCTTTTGAAGTTATACTTAATAAATCAAATTGTATATTGTTATATATATTTATTCAAATGAGTACATGTAGTAATATCTTTAATGACTTATAAATGTAAGTATATAGGAAATTATTATTATCCAAATTTGGAAATAGTCGATATTATGATCGGATTTAATTGATCTAATACTTTATGCAAATTTTAGAGTGTAAATTTATCGAAGCCAATTTTTACCAAAATTTCCCTTTCATGACTTTTTCCGTACACTTTTTCGGATAATATATTATCCATAATTTCATTGCCAAAATCTGCATTACTCTTTGCTAATTGTACTGTAATTTGTTGCTGCAAAAATGTTTAAAAATACAAAATGAATATTATTTAAAATGCTTCAATTTGTAATAAAATAATTTTTATTACTTGTTATTAAAAGTTTTAATTTTGATTAATTTCAATTAAAAGTTTTATACTAATATGATTGATTTTACTAATGATCTATTTTTGAACGTGATACTTTGACTTTGATTCTTCTATATTTGTACTGAGGCTTATTACTTTTACTGATGATTTGTATTAATTTCTTGCACGCAAAATAACTTTAAGTTATAACGTTTAAAATTTTGTTCTAAACTTAGTTTTAAGATCAAACTACCGTCTACATTAATTAGACAATATGTATTTTTTTTTCCAGATGCCAACAAAAACGAAAACAATTACTTCTTGTGTTTTGCATAAGGTCTGCTGGGGTGCTTCTACTTTTGCCTGAAATGGTTCTTTTACTTCTTTAAGCAAATCTTGTGTTGTCTGAGGCAATTCTTGTTGCTGTGATGAAAATGCAGCTTGTCGTATTTGTGATACAGAATTTGGCATGGATTGCTCTTGAGGTGTATATATTGGAAGACCTTGTTGAGGATATACGGGGTGACCCTCTTGTTGATATACAGGATGACCCTGTTGTGGATATACAAAATGACCTTGTTGTTGAGATGGATCTTGAGAATATGAAAATTGACTTGCTGCTGGAACAATCTGCAATGCAATTAGCATTTTAGCTTTAATTTTTACCTATTTCTTTTAACTTAATTTATTTCTAATAAACAGGACTTACCTTTTTTAAACTTTGACATTACATATTATATAAATGAATTGACTAAATTTATAACTTTTCTGAGCGAAATTTGCTATTCATACTTTTTAAATCTTAATTTAAATACTATTATCAAATCTTGTTTTCCAGTTTATTATTTATATATCTAAAATTGCTTTTTTGAAATGCAATTTCAGAGTTACAACTTTATTGCACATAAATAAAAAATTAATATTTATAAGTTTTTTGAGCCCTTGTATGGGAGTTTTCAGATAAATACGCAAAAACAATAAATAATAAAAAATAATAAAACTAATAAAAATACAAGAAAAAATACAAATTGGCTCAAATTATTAAAAAATTTTGAAATAAAAAAAAATTGTTTTCACTAATTTTTAAAATTTTTCCTAAACTTTCCATAAATATGTATTTAAGTATAGGTCAGCTGAAAAAAACCAAATTCAGTTGAAGTAATAATGAACCTGATAAGCTTGACCAGTAGGCGATGTATAAATTGGATAATGTTGAGAAATTGGTTGCACATTCGTTAGTGGAGGTGGCGGTGGCTGAGGTGCAATTATGGAAGATATTGATGGTGCAGGTGAATTATCACATGGCGTACAAAATAATGCTGAAATTGTTATTATTATTATTTTAAAAATTATAAATTTGTTATTAAAAAGAATAAAATCTTTTCAATAACTTATAAAAGTCATATAATTTTTGTGCAACTTTAAAAAAGTTATATAGTATTGATTAAATATTTAAGTAAAAAAATTGAAAATCATATAATTTTATATTTTGTTTTTAATTTTTTAAATCTGTGCATTGAATTATTAAAAAAATTTTTTTTTTTTTGGTAAATAAACCTGAAAAATTAAGAAATTATTTTTTTTTAAAAGTTGAAATTGATATATTTTTCAATATTATTGATTTTATGAATAATAATTTTTGAATAATAATGTTACTTACAAGGAATTTTTACGACTGGACAACAATTGAATGAAAATAGTGATAAAGTAGGAAATATTAAGAAGCATTCAAGCAATATTATAATTGTGCTTTTTTTCATTTGCCTGAAAAGTAACTATTTTAATGCTTAACAATTTTTATACAAAAATAATTTAATTACATTTATATTTTCAGGAATTAAATTTCATTTAAAATTAATTACTATCATTTTTAAATATTTTAGTCAGTATAATTAGTCTATATTTTAAATGATAATACTGAACTATAATTTATTAAATTTAGTTATTAAAGAATACAAATATAATATGCTTCATTTTCTGAGCAACTTATCATAACAATATAATCAAATACTTATTAAAAGCAAGTTTTTTTGAAATTTTTACTTAATATGAAAGTTTCTTAATTATTTTACGTCAATAAATTAAATCTGATATACTTTTTTTCGTTAAGTAACTTTTAATCAGATCAATAGCTTAAATTTCAGTAATACTGCTTGAGTTTTTCCCTTACCTCAAATATTAATTTTACGCGCTAATATTTAAAATTATTTTGAATTTAGATATTATAAGTTAAATTACAAAAATAATAATTTAAAAATTTAAAAAAACAAAGCTTTTTGATTAAATTGTAATTCAAATGAAAAAAAAAAGTGTCAAAGAAGATTATTTAAAAAAATATGTTTGCAATGAATTATTATTAAAATGAAAAGTAGAGAAAAAATAAAAATGAACGAAATTTAGAATAATAAATGAAAAGGAAAAAGTAGACGAAAAACTTTTATTGTGGACAGTTGCTGAGGGAGAGACAAGGGTCATTTTATTCGAAAATAATAAATAAATGAGAACAAATGGATTAATCTACTGGCAATACCTATACCACTTGTATTTCTGTGATAACTGCCCGAGTAAAATGGACATCTATCATTTAGCTGATTAATTAAATTTAAATAGATCCTTTGTTTATTTAAAATATTCAAAATCTTAGCTGATATTTAATTTAATTGATTTGTAAAAAAAAGTTTAACAACAAAAAGTATTTAATAATTTTCAAATTCAACCCAGCAAATATGCTATTTTATAGTATTATATGATATAAAACAAATTTGATATTTGGCAAAATTGAAATTTGATAACACTTCAAAATTCGAGTTTTAAAATTTGAGAAAATTAATTGTAATTTGAGTTAATTTAAAAACGATTTCAGTCATTGTTGTATGTCTTTAAGTAAATAAAAAAGTAAATCCTTTTAATAAATAACAACGAAATTTTCACCCAAAAAAAATTTTTAAATATCTTTTTTACTAAAAATTGACTTAATTCATCATAATAGAATACAGAACGAACTTTTCATTTAACAAAAAAAATCAAAATTATAAAAATTTCTTACTGTAAATTATGAAAAAAAAATTGAATATTACTATTCTTTTTAGCATTTTGTTTGTAAAGTTAATTTTAACAAATTAATTGTATTAATTGTTTGAATTTAGGTGAAAGGTCAGTCTACCAGTCCAAAAGAATAATTTAAATTTAATTTTAATTAATCAGCTAAATGAAATTTAATTAATCAGTTAAATGATAGATTTACATTTTAACAAATAATAATATTTTTTTAATAATTTTGATAGAAATAACTTTTTTCATATGAAAAAAAAAGCTTTAAGTAAATAAACAAAATTAAGTATTTGTTGCTTTTATTTGGCAATATTTGAATTATGTTCAACAATAAAACTGCAAAAATTACAAAATTGCAAAATTAATAATTTTTATTAATGCAATATTTACTTTCAAAATGATAATATTTGCATTATAATAAATTAAATTGTGTTCTGAAAATAATCAAAGAAGTTGTAAAAATTCAAACATCAAAAAAGTTATCAGTTGTAAGTAAGTATTTTCAGAATACAATTTTGCATCACTTCATAGTTTCGTGGCTTCTTAACAAAATTAACTCTTATAAAATGTAAGCAACAGAATCATTCTCAGATGTCATCAAAAACAGGTTGAGCACAAAATTCGTCAAAATTTTTAGCACAAAATTTTTCAAAATTTACGCTTTGACCGAAAAAATATTTGCTAATTACGCAAAATTTTTTAGCAGATTACAAATTATTTTGCTTCTTTCACAAATAGAAAGTGAATTTTAGGTTAAAATCAAATGAATATGAAAAAAAGTAAAAATTTTAAACTGAGAAAAAATTACAAAAATAATAAATAACAAGAAAAATTTTATAAAATTCAGAAAAAATTATTACAAAAATAACTTTATGAATTTTTATTACTATTCTTTCTAACATTCTAATTAAATATTTTTCTTAATACAGATTATAGGCAAATTCTTACAGTCAAATCTTAAACAAACAGGTCTATTGTGCAGTAATCTTTTTCTAACCAACAATAGAACTACCAGAAAAATCCGCGATATTACCTGGAAAATATTCCACACTAAAACATCAGAACTGATTAATCACCTATATATATCACTTTTTACTTTCGATGACATAAATCCTTATTCCCCTAAATTTTTCTCACTGGAATGAGAAATACCGGATTCCGATATGGAAAAAAGTTTTCAAACTTTTGGATTATACATTGCTGTAAACTCTTATAATGTTTTGAAATTTTCAAAAATTTTTGCATTAATTTATTTAACAAAAAGTTTATTTGCCAAAATATAAAGTAAAATTAAAAACACTCTGAAAAAAAATACAAAATTGCATAAATTTAAGCGTAAATTATTTTAATTCACGTGTGATTTACCTATTTTAATTTTATTTTATATTTTGCCATAATTTTTGAGACTTATCAAATGCATAAATGTATATCTGTTGGAACAAATTATTATTATTTTGAATTTTATTTTTCAGGACTTTATTTTAAACAAAAACAATGCAACATATCGAAACCATACATACAAATATTGTGAGTGAGTACTCACATGTGAGATCAAAATATACAGCCCTGAAAATACACACAAAATACATATTATTCAACTCTACAATCATTATTATTATAAATAAAACATTATCATCATTAAAAACAGTAATAATGTGAAATAAACCGAAAATACGCAAAAAAAAAATCTTTAATAAAATATATTTTATGCAAATTTTGCTTCTAATACTTTTTATTGTGAGCGGGAAATTTTTAACTTTCAAGAAGTATTCTTATACCAAAGAAGGTTAAATTTTTCTTATACCAAAAAAGCTTAAATTTGAACTCTTAAATTAAGAGTAATGAATTTTTACTTTGCTGTTGCAAAAGTTTTTTTAATGCACAAATTTTTACTTGCAGAAATTTTGAAAAAATTTTTGTACCAAAAATTAATCAAAATTTTTAATGGGCTTTTTAATACTTGACACAATATTTTTCTAACTTTTAATGAATCAAAATTTGATAATATAATAATTCATAAAATACTCTCAAAACTTTTAATAATATTTAATTAATACTTATTTTAATATTAATTAATACTTTTTTTGAATGTCAGAAATTATGACCTTTTAGCTTAAAGTTCAGAAATGCTTTTATATTTTTCATAAAATATGAATTAAAAATAATTTTAGGCAATAAATATTTATTGAGTGAGTAATATTATATGAGCAATGAAGAATGAAACAGATAGGATAAAATGTGTGAAAAAATTATTCATAATGTAGTAATGGAGGTGAAAATTACAGTAATGCTTTAAGACTTAAGACAAAGAATGAAAATATTTTTGTGAAAAGTAAGGCAAACACTTTGCTCTAATTGAAAGTTAGTATAGAGACTAGAAAATAACTTCAAATATTTTTTAATTAATTTAAAGTTATTTACAAAGTGAAAATCAAGTATTCAAATTTATTACCGATAAATCTTAAGGCTCTTTTTCATGACTTGGCAATGTGGAATTCCAATTTACTACTTGCATGGAATCAAGATTGTACGAATTATTAGAGCAATGATTTAATCTACAATCAGGGTTTACAGTATTACCTTCATCTAAGTTACGATTTTCATCGCTATCTGAATTATTTTCAATAAATGAATTATTCACGAAAAAAGATGAAGATTCTACTGTTGGGTCATTTACATTATTTAACACCTGTGATGGTTCTCCTTCAAAAATGTGCGGATTAAAGTAAAAAAATGCGAAACAGTAATCCACTTTGCCATGCTGAACTGTAATATCCATGTAGCCCTCATTTGGATCTATAATATATTTGATACCAAATTTTAAATATTTCAAAGGCTTATTAAAATTAGTATTATACTGTCATCTTCTAATTAGAGATTAATTTTTACTGCGGTCGTTGCAAAGTATGAAATTTTGATTTTAAAAACTTTATAATTTGAATGAAAACTTTTGACAGTAAAGAGAAATGTTTTTATACAAGGAAAAATTAATTAATTAATTATTTATTTAATTAATACCAATGCTAAATTCTGCTTTGGCTCCAATTTGAGACATTTCTTTGATGACTAAATTCATGTTTGACATGAGCATATTCCAAAAAAAGTCATCGGGTAATTGTACGGTTGCTGAGCAGAATGAAATCTAAATTAATAGAACTAATTTAATTAGCATTCTAATTTTGTTTATCACAATTTTTTATTTATCGACTTGAAAATAAACATAAGATTAAAATTATTCACAAGAAATTGATTACAATTAGTATTAAAGTAATTTTGTGATTACATTTCTATTTAAAAAAATATATATATGTGATTACAATTTATCTTTATTTAATTTTTTAATGTCTAGTTAATTTATTTTTGTATACATTTTATCTCAAACTTCATTTGATGAATGATCTAATAATTTATGCAAATTTTTGATATTAAAATTTTACTTAAAAATGAATTCATCAAAATATATTTTGCTTAAAATTGTTATTTCTGTTATTCTCCTCAGTAACAAAATTTTATTCATATAATGGCATGAAATATAAACCTGTATAGAAGTATCGAATTTTGCATTATGCAAATTAGTGATAGCAAAAAATAAATCGTGGACTGGACACGGTAAATACAGTTCTTGTAAAGTTTCTCGCATGATATCCACATGCAATGAAATTGTTTCCAATTGATTTATCATTGGAGTTGGTATTTTGTCAAATAAATATCCCAGATATCCATTGGTATGATATAATGAGATATCTGCAAATTCTTTCAATAGTAATTCAATATATTAAAGTTTTTATTTACAGTTATTTATGCTATAAAAAATTCTTTGAAATTAGCAATGTCAAAAAATACTTTTAACTTGCTATTACTACTGTACAATATGTATTGTATATTGTATGCCATGTTAATTTCTTATTAATCCTTCTGTTGTGATTCAAAAAGATATTTATTAAAATACTTTAATACTGTAATTTTTTTAAGTTTATATTTAATGTAATCATTTTAGACCTTTTGAATTATTAAATTCTGCAATTAATTTAATAAAAAATTAAAAAATAACCTTTTATTTGCATAGGAGTCCCATGGCTATGCCTAAATAATGTTCCTAAATCCTTCACAATCAGAACTATCTCTGTTATATTTCGACAAACTGTAATCAAATATTGCACATTCATAAAGACAATTTAAAAGGATTTGTAATTTTTGTCTTTCAAAACAATTTTTAATTCTTATAGTTGAAGCTCTGCTTAGGTCAACTCACTAATTAACAAAAATCTCTTTGTAATTAGTAAGTTGACCTAAGCATTTGATTTTGAGTAGTTACAGGTTAATTACCGGTCTTGTATGAAGTTGTAACTTGGAAAACAGTAATTTTTGATTACTGAATGCTATTTTAAAAAATTTTATCTTTTAGACATTAGCAGATAAGTTACCATAACTCGTCTTAGAACTTAATTGATATAAAAATAACTTTACCAGCAAATACAGTAGTCAAATTTGTTTCTGTATAGCGTTTTTTGGGAACCCATTTTTCGGTGCTAATTATGCAACACTCAGATGGATCATCGCTTATCTATAAAATGAATTTACAACATTTTTATGCACAAAAAATTTTATTGCTTATTTGTGTTTATCAAATAACATGCCTGAATTTTGTTGTAATGAGACCATCTGTGATGCAGTACAGAAAATGCATAATTAGAGCACTCCTGAAATTAAATAGTAATGATTTTATTGAAATATTTTCTATACTTTAATTTAAACTTTCCAAAACTTTTAGTAACTTTACTTTATTCCAATTTTTTGATTAGCACTTTTTTAAATTTAAAAATGTGAAGTTTTCAAATTTGATTTCAGCATAATTTTTTTCGATCACTTAATTGCCATGTGCTTATGAATTTAAAAAATTGGTGCATTTTCACAAAGATCGAAAATAAAATTTGTTTTGCTTAATCTTTGCTTGGGTGTATTACATTTAAATATTAGTAAAGCAACCACCTCAAAAATATCAGATTTCAAATTGATATTTGAAGCCTTACTCTGCAGAAAACTTGATGTATTACTACATAATTTAAAATTTTCCGCACTTGCAGAAAAAATTCAAATAAAAACCGTGAATTAATTTTATCAGCAGAAAATCAACATCGTACCTTAAAAAATAATATAGATATTGAATGAAATTTAAATTACCTGGAAGTTGCAACTGTCTTCAACGGACAAGTAATTGTCAATTTCAAGTACCAATTCAGATGGAATGAATTCATAGTAATAAACATCAGAAAATGCTTCGAGTGCTAGAGTTAACTGTGAATCGGAATTCATTGTTGTCCTACAAAATGCAAAACTATTTTATGTTTATACAGTAATTATCTAAGTTATTCTTTACTTTCAATACTGTTCAATTGCAGTACTGAATTAATTGTAATTTTATACTTTCTAAATTAAAATAACAAATTCATCAATAAGAAAAAAAATATATTTTCAACTTTGCAAGCTCTCAAAGCTCAATTTTGAGTTCTTGCTTTACAACTTTATTTGGAATCACAAAGTATACAAAGTTTTCAATTTTGCAAAAGTTTGCAAAATTTTCATATCTTTTAAATTTTAAATTAAATTACTTCAAATTTTATCTGTTACGTCAGATTTTATATTGTAAAGTAAATGTATAATTCCAAACAAATACTACTTATTACAGAAATATTATTATAGTAATAGTAAGCAAACTTTGTTCAAGTATTTATAATTTTAGGTTAAGTTTTTGAGTAACTACTATAAAATTTTTTTTTATTTTTTATTTTTTTAAAATCATTTTCAGCTTCATTTACAGGAAGGCATTACAAAAATTCAACATAAAATTTGCATATACGGTGATGCTATAATGTCCATACCCCAAAATATTATTTATCTATAATAATTATCAAAAAAGTAAAAAAAAAACATAGAGATCTCTCGATAATAAATATAGAAAAAACAATAATTGTGTTGTTAATATTTTATTTAATTACACAATCATAAAACTTC